GCCCACTTCGGGAGCCTCGATGACTTCGAAGAGCTTCAACGAAGGCTCCTGGGAGAGAATGCCGAAGACGACGAAGAGCTCCTTCAGTAGGGTTTAGGGTTTAGGGTTTAGGCGGTTTAGGGTTTAGGCGGTTTAGGGTTTAGGGTTTTAGGGTTTAGGGTCAACTTGTACTTGCTTGACTTGCACCGTACCCTAAACCCTAAACCCTAAGCCCCAATACCTCGACCCTCAAACCCTAAATTGACTTCTACCGTCGCAGTCGCTATAGGTGGGAATTGTCAGTCCGAGCATTGCCGGACGACCACTGTTACAACAGCAATGGTTTTTGGCAGAGTTGACATCACAACGAGACTGCTTCTTCACGCTACTGCTAGTGGTATTTCTACTACTCCCACTACTACTACTACTACTACTACTACTCCTCCTGCTGCTGCTACTACTGCTGCTACTACTACTACTACTACGACGACGACGACTACTACTACTACTTCTACTACTACTACTACTACTCCTCCTGCTGCATCACACCATAACCATGACTTCGGTAGCCTGCATGCAGTTGCGACCAGAATCCTGCTTGCCAGTTTGGCAAGGTGCCCTCTTGGGTCGCATCCAGCACTATTTCAAGTCGCCCGTGCAGGGCTCGGACGAGAATGTTCACATCAACGTCGATCCACCTGTAGTCCGTTGTACTTCCAAGATCAACAATTGCACATTATAGATACTGGTTGTTTTTGAAGCAGTCAGTTATAGCCAGTTTATCGCCTTAGTAGAAGTGCAAGCAGCAGAAGCCAGCAGCAGCACATGCCCTAGGGACAACACTACCCCTGGGTACAAGACTAAGGGGCCAAAGTTTCATCCTAAGCACTAAAAGCCCTAAACGGGAATCCTCACAGTTCCACCCTTAGGCGCTTATGTAGTGCAGGGGTCCTCGCGCTGGCTCGCAGGCAAAGGGAAGGGGAGTTTAAACCGCAAAACCCCAAAACCCTAAACCCTAACTCCAAGACCCCAAAACCCCAAAACCCTAAACCCCTAAACCCTAAACCCTAAACCCCAAAACCCCAAAACCCCAAAACCCTAACGTGTGAGATCTCAGGCTAGATGCGGCCGGCCTCAACGGAAATGCCAGAGGTAGCTGGGACCTTAGTGCATCCGGCTATCGCCCGACTGGAGCATGCCTTTGAAGCGTTTTAGCTGGGGCCGAGAAGAGAGCGGTGAGGCGTCTACAGAGATGGAGCCAGCGAGGCAGGGCTGGATCCAGAGCCTCGGCCTCGATGCTGCGCAAAATTGCTCTTGCGTCCTCCAAGACTATCTATCTATCTATCTGGATATGTGTATATATATATATATTTATTTATTTATTTATATTATATTATATCTATCTATCTATCTATCTATATTTTCGTCTGTGTATTTATGTATGTACGCATAGGCTCCTTAGTAGTCCCCTTTTGGGATGACTTTGTAGGATCCGGAATATGAACCACAGACAGGAGCTACTAAGGAGCCTATGGGTGTGTGTGTGTATATAAATATAAATAAATAAATATATATATATATATGAATGTACACGCATATGTCTGTCTATCTTTTTCTATGAGACATGTTACAAATGTTTTATTTACATAGCTAGAATGTTCATCATATTTCGTAAGGTGCCATAACTTATAAATCAATCTGCATACAATGTATACCTGCATACTATAGGCTCACACCTTGAACGAACACATACGTATGACGGTATCATACTCTGATATCATACTCTGATGTATATTACATGTTGTTATAAGTTGCTAGTTAGATGATACTCATTAGCTCATATTATGTACTATGTTATATCGAGTTTTCATAATGCTTCATCATCGTTTTGCATTCAGTTGCAGTAGAATCTGTTATGCGTTATGACATCGTCTTGTCCTATGTATTTCTATCATGTATTGTATACCAAATGCGTTGCTGTGCCGTGTACTTTGTAGCTTGTATTATTTTTTATAGCAAGTTATAGTAGTGTACAGTATGCCATCGTACAGAAAACTATGGATGTACATTTTACGTGTCTTGCATTTTCCTTTATGCTACAAGAGTTTGTGCTGTATTATGACTCTAATGCATTGTACAATCTTGTGTTTAGCATTACATGTTATATACTATATGTTGTCTATAATGCCTCATTTGTATATTTTCTATGATATGCGTATTGCATTATTCTAGGGCCTGCGCCCACGGGCAGCGCAGGTAGGAGCCTGGCGCAGTTGCCAGGCACCCCCCCTTCGCCGAACCCCGCTGCTGCTGATGATGCGCGCCCTTTGGGGGCTTTTGCAACCCACTCACAAATTGGCAAGCATCGCCTGGCGCTGCCTGGGCCGCTGCGGGCGCGCCGGGTGCTCATGATGCTCGCCGGATGTCTTCCTGGGTCGCCCACGGGTGCCCCAAAACCCGCCATACCGTGAAGTCCGCGGGCGCTGGGGGGGCGGGGTGGGGAGGAGCTATACTGCAAAGGGTTGGGCATGCCTTGGGCTTGAATGAAATGACTACCTATAGTCTCCATTGTAGTTCCTTTTTAGGGCTACCTTTTAGGATCCTTAATACAAAACTAGTTAAACCAAAAAAAGGAACTACAATGGAGACTACAGGTAAAATTACACAGTTTTCAAGCCCAATGCATGCCCAACCCCGGCCTCTGCCTCGCGACCCCATCGCGACCCCTCAGCGTGCAATGGGCGCACGTTGTCCACCGGAAACCCTAAACCCCAAACCCTAAACTCCTAAACCCTAAACCCTAAACCGTGTCTACCGAAAAGCGGGAGAGCATGAGAAACTTCTGGTCGCCGGCCCGGTGGGTCGGCGGATATTTCCTTACATTTCAGTGAAGTATAGTATAGTTTTTGTACAGATACATTCTGAGTATAGCCTAGCACATTTTAGTATAGTATAGTATAGCATAGTCTCGAACATTATGATATAGTATAGTATAGCATAGGCTGTCATCTTCTGTTATAACATATACATATTCAGTGATAACATTTGCACACAAATATGCACAATCAATCTATAGTGTGCATATCTATATGTGTGTGTACTGTAATTGACACTATTAGTTTATGATGTCTTTCATTGCTTAGTTTATCAGTTTTGTTTTGTTATGTACACTGTAATCTATTATGGTGTATGCTAAGTTGTGTTATGCTGTATCTTGTTATATCACACATCGTTATGTTATGTTCTGCTGCGCCATGATATAGCATAATATGTAACATTATACTCTGTCGCATTACGTCATGCGTCATATTAGTGCACTTATACAACATAGATCAATTCAGATGATCGTTGGTATGGGCTTGTGAGTTTTCCCTATCCGTAAAGATGATCGTAGCGATCCCTAGAAAAGGTGTCGGGTTAAGGTGTTCGGGCTATCCTTCAAGATGTCTGCAAGGAGACAGCCTGGGAAGTTATGGTACTATCTAGTTTAGGGATTGCGCTGCTATGCTTGGAGTCAGTTTGCTCAGGTCGGCTACGGCCCGCGTTCTGGCCAGATCGAGATCGACTGGGTTTTTATCCTAGGTCTTGCAACGCGGCAAGACTAGATGCCACTTGCACTCGCAGCACTCGACTGCCCCTCTTCTTAGAGATTTAGGCAGATTCGGGACCCTAAACCCTAAACCCTGGACCTTTCCATGAAAGTGAGGTGCCCTTGAGAATGCAAGAAGATCGGGCAGATGAATGCTAGCACAGGTAGTAGTAGGATCGGCCAAGCCGATTTAAGAGTTTCAGAGCCTGCGCTGCTAGAACTGGGTTTAGCAAGTTATTCCTTTGCGGACTCTTGAAACTTCATGGAGTCGGAGAAGCCAGCGCAGGCTACACCATGATTGTCGTAGCACGGATAACAAGGCTGATGTCATCCTCGAGTGGGCGACACCTGCAGGTGTTGCCGCTGCTGTCTTTTAGCTTAGGCCCGTCCTTGCTCCTTGATGTGGCTTATGCGCATTGACATGTCAAAAGCAACTGCCCACGACGACACTCGCTCCCGTCAGTCGAGAACCGATGTTCTTGTTCGAGCCTTGACCCTCAAATCGTTCTTGCATTCCTCAGTGCTTGGAACTGGCACGAAGAAGGCAACACTCGGTTCAGCCGTGACATCCGGCCCATGCAGCCGTGCTTGAAACTCAAAGAGTAGCGCAACCACGCTCAAACATCCACAGCTCCTGACAGCGAGTAACATGAGTGGGTCCAAGTAAGTATAAACGCAAACAGCGCTCCTCAGTGCCTCAGGACCTCCTAGAAGCCTTCGGACAGGTTTCTGTGACTGTCAAAAGCAACGATTCTACGTTGTAGTTATCCCGCACAAACTTTGGTCGGGTGCCAGACTTGCATGGCAGGCCCTGTAACTTCTAAACACTTGACTCATCTGGACCCTATAAAACCCTAAAACCTGAAACCAACTCCACTAATTAAGCTTTTAGTTTTCGATTGGACCGATAGCTAGTTCCATGGTTTCAACATGCGCTGCTGCTGTGCCCTCGCAGCCGCATGTATTTGCTTATTTGCTGTGCAGGGTGCGATAGCACCAACACGAGCATGCGCCCAAAGTGACTGGCGCTTCAGCTTCGGTGTTTGTCATGAGGGCCTCCGACATATTTACCCATACACACAGAGATGCGACGAGACGAAGAGTCCTGTGAAGCCCTCGCCACTTTTCAACGTGTCCTGTCATAAAACCTGTCCTGCGGGGACACACTTAGCAGCAAAGCTTCGAAATGGCCTCACAGTACTCGACTGCGTGGAATGCAAGCCGGGCTACTTCTCCTTGGGTGGCGGACTTTTGATCTCCGGGCAGGCGGGAGATTGGCATCGGTCTTGGCCTCCTGGGCTCCGAACAGGTTGCTCCTACCGACGGCTGGATGGCTCTTGGCACACGGATGGCGCCAGCACTACTGGTCTTACGACTGGGGTTTGCCAGATCCAGATTCTGAGTCCTCCGACTGTTGCTGGGGCTTACTACATCCGGGCAACACATACGAGAAGCAAGGGAACAAGGTCCCCACCGGGTGTAGCTCTTTTCGTCTTGGCGCCGGGCGATCGGCGCTTATGCAGCAGGATCTCTGGAAACTTGCACCCGCAGGCCAGCGGCTTCACTGGCCAGAGGCCTGGTGCAAGTCAAGCGGACAATGGCCGCCGCAGCCTGAATTTCTGGTTGCTGGCAGCAGCAGGTGGTTGTTCCTACGATCGAAAAGCGCAGGTGGCGGGGATGGCCGGAGCGCAGGGTGTGGTGCTCGCCCCTGCAGCTATTTTGGACATCGGTGCAGGTCCTCATGGGCCTCCAGAGCACAGCCCGGGGCGAGACAACGTCTCCCGAACTGTTCCGATCTATGAGTTCCTGGACAGCCAGGATGCCCAAGTCCTCGCCGCAGCGCTGCGCGTGAGGCCGAAGGGACATGCGGAGACTGGGCTCTTGTTAAGGGATTTAATTTAAGTTGCTATAATAAAGAAATCATGTTATTTACTATAGATCCCTATTATGGTAGCTTAAATTATATCCCTTAACAAGAACCCAGGAGATGATCCTGAATGACACAGCCGTGCAGTTGTGTTCAGAGCCCGAGCCCTCGGCCTTACCCGAGATGGGCACGCCGGGCAACGTGACGTCACTTGGCCATGTTAGTTTATCCACAGGCCTTTGAAGTAGTTCCTTTTTATGGCTTACATTAGAATCCTACAAGGTAATCCCAAAAAGGAACTACTTGGGGGCCGATGGGTAAGTTGTGGTCCCCTTGTCCCCGCTTCGTCGTGCTTCCGATGTCCAGGTACGGCTGCAATGCTTGGACGCCAGATGAGCTTGGCAACAGCATCCACTCTGGTGACAATCGCAACTTCAATCGCATGGCCGGGCCCTTGGCAGGTCGCGGTGTGCCAAATGTCTGCTGGTCCCTTCTGAAGCCAAGGTGTCGAGCTTGGAGCTAAGCGTGAACATCGTGCGCAAGGAGGGCTACGTAGTCTTCCGCTACCAAGTGGATGCAGAGGAGTGCAAGGGTTTGAACAAATGACGTGAGCATGCGATTTCACCGAACTGATAACTAGAATTTGTCTGTAGCACTGGCTCATCACTTGTGTCAGTGTCTGTCACACACACCGAAGTACAGCCTCGTGAAACTCAGGAGGGCTATGATGGCTTCAGCTTCGAAGTAGATTGGAAGGAGGCCGTGTCGACGAGTTTGTTAGTCAGCCGGGGCGCACAGTCTTGGGGACGGAGACGTTGCCGTGTGAGTCGTGTTGTCTTGTGCTGTCTTGCTCGAGAGTGCTCCTATCTCGGAAGCACCTGCTTCTCTGGCTCTGCGCTTCCAGCAGCTGCGGATATGAAGCATGCAACCAGCGAGACTCATGCTTTCATGCACACACAGCGCTGATGAAGAATAAGCCGCCTATTTAAGGATTTTGTAATTTAACTGAAGCGAGTCCTTCGGATCCGATGGCCGAGACGATCACAGTTGCACCCCCTGAGCAGCTACTGGCGCAGGTGAACAGCTTAAAGGCTGCTATCGGAACCTTGCCCCAGTTGCTGGATGACCTGCGGAGCCACAACTTGCCTGAGAGTGCGATTAGTGATGCTGAACAGAACTTAAAAGTCGGAGTCAACCTGCTGGAAGCCAATCTGCCTCGAATCTGCTTCTTGGGAAAGACCGGGAGTGGCAAGACGTCGCTCATGAATGCTTTGCTCGGCAAGACCCTGCTGCCTGCGGAAGACACTGGCAAGGCAGGGCTTATTTCTTGTGATTTTGCTTCTGGTCAGCTACTTGTGCCAGATCGGTGGGAGAGGGTGCAAGATGGGAGTTTCTAACAAACGGTGTGTCCTAATGTAGACACTGCATGAGCAGTAAGATCCTGATCAAAAGGGCCGCGAAATAGTCTAAACAAGGTACGCCTTCTTTCTGATTTTTCCAAATCAGGGGCATTGTGTTGAACTCAAACGACTCACCATCCTAAGTCTGGGAAACGAAACCGTCGCCACAACAGCCGGAAGTGTTGTGTCGATGCAACAATGGAATATGATGTCCTCCGTCGCCCATCCCGGCCTGTGATGTCAAGTGAATGCAAAATCGATGTGAAGAGACGGAAACCTTTGTCCTCTGAGTTTCGTCCTGTAGTATCAAATCCTAGGTAAATAGTGAGACATTTGTTGTTGCAATCCAGTGGACCCGGAATGCTGGCTCTGCTCCACTTTTGACCATTCTAAATGGGATGTGCCACGACAGTAGAAGTTCCAAACAGCAGAGACACCGTCCTGAACCCCTCGCAGTGCCCAGCTCTTTCTTCATTTTTCTTCGGAGTTCCATTTTCTACCAGTGGTGTCGTGTGCTTTCGGAAAGGCTGTCACAAGCGCTGTGACCGAAGTCTTGCATGATCCGAGCATCCTCGACGAAAGTGCGACACGTCTGCAATCTACTCGGATGAACGCCCGATCTGGACGTGCAGGAGCAGTCGAATCTGTGCAATTAGAGCTGAGCTGTGTTCAGGTCCTGATCACTGTGAACGAATGCAGCGTCGAGGAATGGCGAGAAAAGAAACGGATGCTGGTGAATGTCATGCAAGGTGGGCGCTGTGTGCTGCATGCGTGAGCGAGAGGGAATTCTTTAACACACTGAGGAATTGTTCATGCCACGGCCTCTGAGGTGGGTACGAAGACGATGCGGGGGTCGACGTGGACGACATGCAAAATGTTGCCGAGGCTGTGCTAAAAGCTGCATGTCCTGATGTGGCGCCTGAAGAAGTGCAGCTTGAGACTCCAGAAGCGCCAGAGTTCCTCCAGCGATTGGAGAACAGTTCGCAGAGGGATCCCCAGCACTTTCAGTGCTCAGAGGATGCACGCAAGTTCCTGGTGGATAGGGTCCATCTTGCGAGCTCCGATGACTGGGTGCAGTCGGTGCTGACGTCGAGAGTCCTTATCAGAGGTAACTTTCCGAATGTTCCACAAGATTGCATCATGGTGGACCTCCCGGGGCTTGAGGACACCAACCTTTTGCGATCTTCGGTGGCGGAAAGATACTTTGACCTCTACTGCAACCACGCCTGGTTTTGCCTCGCCAAGACGGAGAACCGAATCGGCAGCAACGCAGGTCTCTCGCGCCAAATCCGTGCACTTGCACGTGGTGGGAATTTGGACAAGATCCTTCTGGTGAGGACCCGAGCGGATGAAGCCCCGAAGAAGGGCACCGAGAAGCTGGACAGAGAGCACGAGGAGTTCAAGCGCCTTTGCCTCCAAGAGCTGACGAAGCAAAGCTCCAGGGCGAGATCTTCAGGTGGAAGTTTCCGAAAACAAGGGGTACCTTGTTCATGGGGTCCTTAAAATATAAGGATCCTGCTATTAGGGGTACTATATTAGGATCCCCTCTTTTCGGAAACCCCCAGGTGAATCCGATGAGCCAGCTCGTACTAGGAGACGGACAGGCCCGGAGTCCGAAGTTGCCGGCGAGACGTCCGCTTCCTCTTCCTCTGTGCCCGCCATGTCCTTCGCTGGCTATGTCCAGGCGACGGCCGACCCAGGTTCGGAAGACAGGCCACCGGAAATCAAGATCGAAGCGGTGGTCCGCAAGCTTCAGCACGTCGGAGCCCAACACATCCAAAAGCTGAGAACCCTCATAATCAACACCTACGAGGCGCTCCAGTCCCTGGCCCGAGAGCGCTTTCAGGAGGAGCAGGAGCGGGAGGCCGAGCGACAGCGTGAGGTGGAGCGGGAGGAAGCCCGGCGTCGCATGGAAGCGCTGGAACGTCAGCATCAGCGCCTCCGTGAGGAGCAGGCGGCCGACGAGCGCCGCAGGCAGCACCTGGAGGAGCTGCGCCAGGCGAGGGAGCGCAGAGCCCAAGAAGCACAAAGCCGCCGTGCAAACCTGGTGCTCAACTTCACACAAGCCCTGAACGACTCCAAGCGCATGGTGCAGGAGGGACATGCAGCTCATGACAGTTTGTCTAGGATGCCATGGTCCAGATTTCGCGCCCCCGCCCTAACGCCTAAACCCTACACCCTAAACCCTTGTATGCCAGGAGTTTCGCGAGGAGATGGGGAGCTGCACTGGACTGACGGCAGTGGAGGCCGTCGTGCGCGAGCTGCAACGTGCAGCCCTCGGCTTTTGACATTGAACTGCAAAAGGTTGCTTACGGAATCTTTTTCCGGCACTTGTAGCGAAAACTTGCCGGTGCATCTGGACGGTTCAGCTCGCAAGTTTCTTGTCGAGTTTGCGGCCCGCACAGTCAGGAATTTCACAGGAGCTTCGTCGTGAAAGCTTCGCACAGGCACAGCCCAAAACAACAGAGCCAGGAGCATGCACGCAAGTACGACCTGCTTTGGCGAAAGCAGGGGATATGAATCCCTAACCCCCCAGGTACCTACTATATACGGCCCTAGGGGCTCTAGTACCCTATATAGTAGAATATAGTAGATACCTGGGGGGTTAGGGAATGTTAACGTGCATAGAAGCACTATACCAACTGCACTGTGCAGTGACAGGAGACTTCGCTGCAATGTTGAAGATGCTGGCTCGTGTAAGGGTCATTCCGAAACATGTGAGAGCTGGTTTTGAGCAGGAGCGTATTGGTTTCCATATGCTTAGTGGCAAAGCAGAGACAGTGATGCGAGGTGCGAAGCCACCGAATGGGCAGACTCTTCGAGCGCTAATCTCGGCAGGGGGCATCTACGCTTCGACATCGCGTGGTAACTTTGACCTGGTGGACACCTTCTGCGGAGCACTTACCATCCGAGGCACTGAGGATTTTCTGAACGCCTGGGCCACAGTTGCCGCATGGCTGGCCTTGGAAATATATTGTTTGTGGAAACCTCACCGCACTATATGTAGAATGACAGCTGCTTGTTCATCTTCGCAGCACAGGTGATTGATTCAGAAAGGAAGCTGCGAGGTGTCCCAAACATGCCGGCGGCCCTCAATCAGGAACTGTCTCTGCGACTGACGGGCATTCGCCAGCAGATAAATGCAGTGGTGACAGCAGGCCACACAAGTCGTTTCCTTTCCCCAGAGTTTGCATCGAGTTGGCTAGACTAGACACCGTACGCCGAAAGCTTCAAATTGAAAATTCCCGGCAGGTGGACCGATTCGCAGTATGTTGAGCAATGCGCTCTCGTGGTTGGGAGGCAAAGGTGCGAGTGACTCTGCGATCAGGTTTGCAGACGTAAGGTTAAAGAGCTCTGTGAGACCAGCTCTACAACGGATCACCCACAGCCTCTGCTCCTCCTTTGAGAACGTCTTAAATGGCCTTCCTGATGAGCTCTCTCGGCACCTTCTGACGGGAGAGGCTCCCCAGGCTTCCCGGGCCGCTCAAGAGGCCACCTGCATTATTTGCCGGGATGCTCCGGCTGTGGGCAGAGCCAGCTTCGTCACATGCTACTGTGCTCCGCGACCACCCTATGCTTGCGCTCGCTGTATCCCCCGCATAGACCTGCAGTGCCGAGAATGTCCTATCTGTAGAGGAACACCGCCCCGGTAGCTCACAGCCGTGCCGGTGTGGCCGACAGGCTGCTGAGACAACGATGGCAGTTCAACGAAGTCTGGATGTCGTTTCTGGGGCGCGGTGCGAAACAGCACCATAACATAGGGGCCTTAATAATCATCTATACTATTTTTTGGGGGGGTGTTCCTTATCATACTTATAGTATTGTACCCCAAAACCCTATTCGAATTCTTAAGGCCCCTATACATTAATTGTTGGTTCACCCTTGGAGGAACTTTCGCGGGCAAAAAGGCTGCAGCTCAAACTCCGCCTTTGGCAACAACTCCTTTCCGCACGTGTCGCTTTCCCCTGTTCTGGGAGGCCATGCCTTCGACATCCTCACAGCGAAATTGGACGGATGTCCGAGTAAATCTGACGAAGGGTGCTGTGCTGAAGGCATTCTTCTGTTGTAGAGGGGGCTTTTTTTACTGTGGCATCAGAGCATCTGAGGTGCCCACGTCCTCCGCTGGCAGTATGCAAAGGACCGGGAAATTCATGGTAAACGAAAGCTTCTGAGATGACCGTCATCTTGGGGAGGTCTTCCGGAAATTCACAGAGAATCCATCCCGGAGTGATGATGACAAGACATTTCCAGCTCCCGATCGGTAAAAGAGTCTATCGGCCCCAACATCTACGATTAATGCAAATGCATGAGTCAGCGTTTCTATGGCCAATGGTTGGGCAATGCCACAAGTGCTGTCATTTGCAGGATTATAGTGGCTACACGGGCATGGACCGCGCACAACTGCAGCCCAGATCCCAAGCCATGTTTCAAAGCCATTGTGCAGCAGAGTGCTGTGCACGAATCGAACAGACACTCTGCGTTCTGATATATTCCCCAAGGCTCGTGCAAGTGGTGGGAACGCAATACGCAGACTTGGAGTGCTTCCACTGCCACGGCATCGGGCACAGCCGCGTAGCGAAGCCTTTCTCGGAGTCGTGTTTGCTGGTAAACCACACAGGACAAACGCTGCATCGCCCTTGCAGCAAGGATCTGGCATGCACAGCATCGGGGGCGCAGACCACTGCAATGCAGCTAGCTCATTTGTTCGCTTTTGCAGTGCGACCCCTGATTAATTAACCTGCTGCTTTCAACATTATGAAACGGATCCTATCATCCAAGGCCCCTCAACAAAGGAGGTGTATTAATCGGGGGTCTACATCTTGCCCCGAATCGAAACAGTTGTGTCTTGTCGCTGTTGATCGGTCGGAGGCCTGCCTACGGAACCAGTGCCCTCCTTGCAGATGGCTGGGAAGTTCAGAGAGCCCAATACCCCTTGAATAAGGAATATACCTTAAACTATAGGGGGCCCTAATATCATGATTTAAGGTATATTCCTTAATTAAGGGGTATTGGGCTCTCTGGGTAAGGAAGGTACCGTCGGAGGTGTCCCACACGTTCTCCTTGCAGGTACCTGTCGGCTGGTAGATCCGCAAGCCTGGCCAGATGCCAGCCGGAGCCCCTACAGGGCTTCTTGAAGGGTACCATCGGATTACAATAGGGTTTATAGGGTTTAGGGGTACCATAGGATTACAAGAGGGTTTATAGGGTTTAGGGGTGCCATAGGATTACAAGAGGGTTTATAGGGTTTAGGGGAACCATAGGATTACAATAGGGTTTAGGGCCTTTGGGCTTTAGGGTGGGCATCATGGGGTCACTACTGGCAGACCTTTGCAATGTATCGAAGAAGGCGTTTAAGTGCTCGGAAGGCCATGCCCCGCCGGCAAGTGGTCGGTACCCGGCAGCGTATCTGCAGCCTCCTGTGTCACGGCCGAGAAGTGCACAAGCGAGTCTTTCAAGGCAGGTCGTTTCCATTTGTCCCCTCCCTGCTTGGTAGAAGTTGCCAGGTGGCACTTTCACCTTGCCAGAGTGGCAGGCAGCACCAAGTCAGGCATGGAACTTCTGGAATTTGCAAATGCTCATCACTGGACTTGGTTTCAAGTGCAAGGAGCTGGATCCTGCCGGTGATCTGTGATGCTGGGTCCTCGTGCTGCGCATCCATCAGCCTTGTGTGAACGGGCAGTCCGAGCATCGGACAGTGCCGCTCCCCCTCCTATGACTAAAGGTCTCAGCCAGGATCGATACAGGTAGATACGGCTAGTCCGTGCTCCGAATAAGGCAACTAACTATGAAACATACTTCCACATGTGCCTATAATCTGTCCAAGATACACGTATTAAGGTTCCTTACTTGCTGTGGAAGCGTTCTGTATGTGCCGCTGGTTCCAGTTGTTTGATAGAACTGCCAGCCACTCTCAGCGCACAGACTCACGAGATCGCTGCATACCATAGTTGCTTCAGGTTGTTCCCTTTCGGTTGGCCTGCATGTTGCAAAACTAGTCAAACTGTGTGACGTGTGATGTTCCTTGCACACAACATCTTCGCCGTTGATTACGACAGCATGGCAGGAGGCAGCAGCAGCTCCGGTATCCGGTGACAGACTTCAAACGAGAGCAGTCATGTTCCCTGCCACCACACGATGTATGAGTATACCCATCCGACAGGGGCTCGGAGAATGGACTTTTGTGGTTCTAAAGCCTCATGCCTTGGATACACCCTAAACGTTCCTAAACCCCAAGCCCCGAAATTCCCTGGACCCTAACCTCTACAGCCCTTGCTTACTGCGCTTTTCGCAAAGCAGCCGCAGCATCTCCGAGGTGAACGACTCATTGGCTGCCGCTTTGCTCCAGGGAGCGGCTGGAGATCAGGTCCCGCAAGAGCTCTCTCTCTCTCTCTCTGCCTCCTTGCTTCCCTGTTTCTCAGAAAGTGAGGCAATCATGTAAATAATGTATTCATATACATATACATATGTATATATGTTATATATGTGTGTGTGTGTATGTGTGTGTGCATGCATACACACACACACACAAACACTGACACAAAGTTTACTGAGGGCTGGAACAGTGTATACTTTGCGTGTTGATTATGGGGATATGTGCAAAGCAAGCTCTGCCTTATGTCTTGCTGAAAAGCTGAAACTCTGAGCCTTCCTCCCACATTCAAAGGGGCTCCGGAGAGAGCCGAGGTTTGTGTCAAGACTCAGACATCGTGCTGTCAGGAGTGTGTTCCTTGCGCGCCCAACACATACCGGCCAAACAACGCCGAATGCGTGCACGGCACTTACAGTTTGTGCACAAGGTTTTAGGTTTAGGGCATCTCGCGTGTGCTTTGGCAGCTTTGGCTTTGGTCTGAACCCTTGCAGTGCTGAGGCCTAAGACAATCTCCTGCCCAGCGGGCCATTATGCAGCCCGGCACTTAGCCCTTGTCCATCCATTGCTCAGATGTGTCAGATGTGTCGAACCTTTGGAGATAGTAGGAAGGCGAAGCGTGGCACGGCCCTCACACAATTCGGCTAACATCTGCCTATGGGACAGTCTTGCCCGGGTCAATCATCATGAAGCTATGGGCTTACGTCGTGTTATGAGTGCATGATGGCTTTCGTGCGAAAGATGTTGGAGCAGGTCACTGAACTCGTCCTGAGTCGATGGGCAGAGTGGCCAAAGAACCTGTCCCAGGAGGCAAGTTGAATAAAGCTGTCTATATGTATATATATATACACACATATGTATGTATACATATAATATATATATATATATGTATGTATGTATATGTACGTGTGCATGTACATGTACATGTACATGTACATGTACATGTATATGCATATGTATATGTATATATGTATGCTTGGGTGGGGGTGGAGGAGGTTGGGGCTGACGGTGTGGTGGAGGTGAGGGGCAGTGGAGGGGAGGAGGAGGGCTTGGGGGGAGTGGGGAGGGGAGGTGGTGCCTGCAGAGGATGCGGGAGGGTGTGGAGGTGGGTGGAGGGGTGGAGTGGTGGAGGTGGAGGTGGAAGGGTGGGAGGGGGAGGAGTGGAGGGGTGAAGAGGGGAGATGGGGTGGAGGCGTGGAGTCAAGGGGAAAAGGGTGGAGGGGTGTAGGGGGGTTCCGCTTGTTTAAGGCGGGCTTGGCGGCCCGGGGGAGGTAGTATAAAATGCCTGCTTAAGTATTTAAAAATGCGCATATTTAAAAATCGTCACCGTATATCTATCGAATCTATCGAATCTATCTATCTATCTATCTATCTATCTATCTATTTAGATGTATATATGTACATACATGCATGCATGCATGCATGCATACATACATATATATATATATGTGGTTCCCCCTTTGACCTACATGTCCTTCCTAATTAGGCAGACACACATATACATATATATATACATACATACATACATACATACATACATACATATATATATATATAGAGGGGAAGAGGAAACAAATACAGCGATATCATAATATGTGAATCTCTCTCTCTATGCAGATAGATAGATAGACACATATATATATATATATGTTTATATATTTATATTTCTATATTTACTTACTCATATTGTTTCTTAACCAGGGAGCCGGAGAGCCAGCGCAGATTCCGGCAGGTCATCGGTCCGCATGAGGAAGTGACGGGCACCGTCCAAGCCTCAAGTCCGTGGCTCCCGAAACTGAAAGTGGGGTTTAGGGCCTAAAGTTTAGGGTTTATAGGTTTTTATATCGGGCTTACTTAGGGTCTAGGTTTATGGGGTTTATCGGGCTTAGGTTTTAGGGCTTGCAGGGTTCAAAGGGTTCAGGGTTTAGCAAGGGTTTAGGGCTTTCAGGGTTTATAGGGTTTATAGGGTTTAGGATTTATAGGGTTTACAGGGTTTAAAGGTTTAGGGTTTACATGGTTTAAAGGTTTAGGGTTTATAGGGTTTAGAAAGGGTTTGGGGTTTACATGGTTTAAGGTTTGGGTTGTATGTATGTAAGCAGCGACCTCTGCATGTGGAGGAACATGTTTCTAAGCAGGCATGTTTGCATAGATGGAAAGAAGGCGGGATGGATGGAGGGATGGATGGATGTATACATACACTCCCAAGGGAGGTTGATTCCAGAAGAGGATACCCTCGGCCAGAAAACCTGAAAGTTGCAACTCCAGTTGGCGCCTCTGGCAAATAGAACACAGTCGGCGGCATCCTTGATCTCGCTGGTGCATTTCGCTTCGTTGCTCATGCAGCTTTAGGGTTTAGGGTTCAAGGTCTACCCTAAACCCAAACCCAAAACCCTAAACCCTAAACCCAAAACCCCAAACCCTAAACCCAACACCCTAAACCCTAGGGTTTAGGTGAAGCCTTGCCTTCTTGGAGAGGGTAGCAAAGTCTTCAGCTCGGGCTCGATGTGGGCAGTTCTCTAAATTCGGGTCCCTGTTTAAGGGTTTAGGGTTTAGGGACCCAAAAACATACGGCACCTTTATAAAAGGGACCCTGAACCCTAAACCCAAAAGGGACCCTAAACCCTGAACCGAAAAGGGACCCTAAACCCTAAACCTAAAAAAGACCCCAAACCCTGAACCCTAAACCTAATATTCAGAGAAGTACCCAGAAGACAGGCTTTATCTCACTGGTTCTTAGAAGGGAATGGGGGAATGGACTATTGGGACTACTATAGGGGACCTTAAGGGACTATCATAGGGATCCATTCCCCCTAAACCCTAAACCCTAAACCCTAAACCCTAACCACTCCCTACTAAGAACCAGGGAGCTATTCGGATCAGCAGGCCGATGTCCCGGGTGGTTGGGCGCTGAACAACGGCAGCCTTCACATGACCCTGGGAGTGGGCGGTAGTCCTGTGCTCAGATTGGGGCTTAGGGGTTAAGGTTTTTAGGGCTTAGTAGTTTTGGGCTGAAGGTTTAGGGTTTGTTAGTTTTGGGGTTCAGGGCTTTTAGTGTTGTTTTGTGCAGTTCAGGGTTGGGAGTGTGTGGTTGGAGAGCCAGACGAATGCATGTGCAGGTGACCCGAGATTGTCCACGAATGCTTCGAAACTAGCGCGGAATGATCCCTGCGTCCGACAAGAAGTGCTCCTAAAAGCCATAGCGTTGCGCGTTACTCTGGTTGCTGCTGGTTTTAGGGATTGTGAAATTTAACTGTCCAGAGAGGGGAGGTTTCACACAGGGTTGTGACATTGGGCACAAAGGGAAACCAAGATGCTTGGACTGTCTGCATTTGGTACATGACATCTGCTGGTTGGAGTCGCCAACGTAGGTTTTCGTTCAGCGTTTAGGGAGCTTCGTCGTCGCTGCAACGAGTCGGTGCTCCTGCTTGCTCAGTCCACATCACGGACAAGCTCGAAGCGAGATTGCACCTGGATGTTCAGGTGACATTGTCGTGGGCACCCAAGTGGCTAGGAACAGCCAAGGAACCTTAAGGACGAAATGAACCCTAAAAGGTTTTAGGGTTCATATCCCATATAGGGATTCATAATATAAGGGTACAGGGCCCCTACTTTTAAGGGTCATTTCGTCCTTAAGGACGTCTCCACAAGAAATCCGAGCAGAGCTGGCTCAGTGCACCGGCCCCAGGCCTGGCAGGGTGAACTTTACCCTGGAGCTCCCCAGCGCCGTGATGCCGGGAGCTTAGAGCGCTCCTTAAGCGTAGTCCCTAAACCCTAAACCCTAAACCCTAAACCCCTAAACCCTAAACCCCTAAACCCTAAACCCCTAAACCCTAAACCCTAAGACCTAAACCCCCGACCAGACAAGGTGGGCAGACATGAGATTCTTGGTGGATGGCGTGGTCAGCTCCAACATCCCCGGCTTTCATGTGGAACAGCTCGCGCCTTAAGGCAGAATTCCGTGGGCAGAGAGCCTGTCAAAGCCGTCGAAACGTGCTCTTGTCATCGAGGCTTCCCATGAGGGCGCAGCACGTGACCCGCTTCCAGGTGGCCTTTGCAGAGCCTCGCTGTAGACCCTAGGTTTTATAGAACCCCTAGAACCTCAACTCGAAAGGCCCACAACCCTAAACCTTAAAGACCCTAAACCCCAAAAAGCCCTTCAAGCCTAAAGCTTAAAGACCCTAAACCCAAAAAAAGCCCTTCAAGCCTAACCCTAAAAGACCCTTAACCCCAAAAGCCTTTCAAGCCTAAAGACCCTAAACCCCAAAAGCCTTTCAAGCCTAAAGACCCTCGAACCCAGCGTTCCGTGGAACACGAGGTCACCGGCCCACTCTGGCCTGGGCGGCACCGCCTCACGTGGAGCTGCCTGGAGCCCGGACAGAATCGTAGTTAAGGCTTTAGGGTTTAATATAATAAGGGCCTTAATACCTAGTTAAGGCTTTAGGGTTTAATATAAGGGCCTGAATAACTACCTACTTTAAAAACTGACTACCTAGTTAGGGCTTTAGGGTCTAATGTAGGGGCCTTAATACTCACCTAGTTAGGGCTTTAGGGTTTAATGTAGCGGCCTCAATAGTTACCAATGCTATTTTGGGGGGGCTCCTTATTAAAAATAAAAGCATAGTATGATTAATGGGCCCCAAAACCCTATTCTAGATCTTCAGGACCCTATAGTAGGGCTTGGGGTCTGGGGCCTCGGGTTTGCATGGGGTCTGAGGGTTTTGGGGCTTAGGGCTTTAGGCTCTTAGGGTGTTAGGATTTAGGGTTTAGAGCTTCAGGGTTAATCATCACGGAGGCCAAGAGGGTTTAAAGCATCAGGTTCGGGGTTTAGGCGCTGTAATCATAATAGTAAGCATAACCATAAGCATAATCATGGTCATATTAGTGACATAGAATCCCTTAGCTGAGCCATTTGAGGTAGCCACTCACTGCTGGGAGCAGCGGGGAGCCCAGCGTGAAATTGATGAAAGCGGTCATTTCGATTGGTGATGCCCGCGTGGGTGAGCGGACCGTTGAGGGCTTGGGGTGTAGGTTCAGGGGTTTAGGGTTTAGGGGTTTAGGGTTTAGGGTTTAGGGGTTTAGGGCTTAGAGTTTAGGGCTTAGCATTGACATGGGCAGACGGAAAGCTGCATCGGGTGTCCGGTCTGTGCACGAGTTCCTGGCCAGGATTTGCGGCGGGTGCGGCTGGTTCGTGTGGCCGTACAGGGAGCTGCAAATGCAGGCAGCGAATGGGCAATGGGCACTCTCGAAGTGCTTGTTGTTCCCACAAGGATGGTGTAGTGTATGGCTGTCAAGACCTCTACTGTATCAAGGGATACCAAATGGAGCCAACTATCGTACTTGGTGAGCACGATTCGAGACGAGGTGCAGCTGAATGTGCCCCTTGCCCAGCAGGACAGGAGGCTTGTCCGGCACCGACCAAAAACATGTGTCAGTTGCCAATATGGAATCAGGTGGCACCGAATGGTGCTAGCTGCCGCAGCTGTCCTCCTGGGCATTTTCTCGCCAAGGCCTTCACACTCGGGTTTGCTTGCATAGAATAGGTGCGAGCTATAGTATCGTTTCGCTAGAATTCCAAGCTGTGGACTAGCTGCCTGACACGCCGATCCGGCTGCAGGTGGCTTCCAGCACTCGCTGCACTGCATGTAACCCAGGTCCAGCATCTAGCCGGGTGTGTGGAGAGTTTGGGGCTTACCTATAGTCTCCATTGTAGTTCCTTTTCGGGGTTACCTTCTAGGATCCTTAATATAGACTTGGTTAAATCGAAAAAAGGAACTACAATGGCGACTACAGGTAGGGAGATCCATCCAATCAGATTGTCGCCACCCATCGAGATTGCAGCTTCCTGCGATGCTGTGATCGTCACGTGAAGGAAAATTCAGCGACACGTGGGCCGCCACGGACTGTCGCGAATGCGGAGCAGGCAATCGCAAAGCCTTCGGCTGAAGCCGGCTACTTGCGGCTTGTGGTTGTGCCACGGGCAGGCGCCACCGCTGGTTTCGGCGCAATCACTTGCGATCCCCAGCCCATCCTGCTGACGCGCGACTTTGCGGCAGCTTCGAAGGCAAGGGCCTCTGGGGCACTGGATCCAGATCACCACGATAATAGTAATCATAGTAACAATATAGTAGTATAGTAGTAAATCGCATGTAGTAGTAGTAATAATAGCAAAAATAGTAAGAATAGCAAAAATAGAAATAGTAATCATAGTAAGAATAGCAAAGACTGGATCTCTTTTTTTGTCAGGTCCTCACGCCTGGAGAAGTGAAGACCTCGGGCCTCGGAGGGGAGTTGCAAGCGCCTGGTAACCCCTAAACCCTAACCCCTAAACCCTAAACCCCAAACCCGAAACCCTAAACCCTAAACCCTAACCCCCAAACCCTAAACCCCTAAACCCGAAACCCTAACCCCCAAACCCCTAAACCCTAAGCCCCCAAACCCTAAACCCTAAACCCTAATCGACGCCCAGGTCGTCATCAACGTCACGTCTGCGATTCAGCCTGGAGACTCGGGAGTCTCCTGAAGACTGAGGGTCTGAGTACCCAAATAGTCAGGTTTTTAGGGCTTATAGGGTTTAAAATTTAGGGTTTATAGGGTTTAAAATCTAGGGTTTAGGGTTTAGGGTTTAAAGTTTAGGGTTTTTTAGGTCCCAAAATCCATACCCTGAATGGTTTTTGGACCTTGAAACCCTACTATTTGGGTACTTGGACCCTCAGGGGAAGACTGCCACTACTAACGACGATTTCCAGTCTTAAAGCTAAAGATAGTCATGTAACCATCTTAAAATGAGCTGGTACTTGACACTAAAGATAGTGATATAATCATCATTAACTTAAAAAGCTGGTACTTAATACTTAAAATAGTCACAGAATCATCTTCATCAATTAGTACTGTCCCGCCTTTCTCTACGTGGCGCAACTCGAAGTCCTGAAGGCGGTGGCGAGCGGCCACAGAGGGCGTGACTGGACCGCTGCTGGTGGCTGGCCGGAAGTTCTACATCAGCCTGATGAGGCGCCCAGTCAGTGTCGACTCTGTCCATGCAAGTGACGCCTTCGCACTTTCCTGCTTTCCTTCCAGCATGGACGGCTGGCCTGTTGATTATTCGTTAAGTGCTCAGACCGGCACCACCGCCCGGCGACGAGGGTGGCATGGCCTACGTTTGGGAGCAGGTGTCCAGACAGGAGCAGAAGCCGCCTTGCGTTGGGTGAAGAGGCTCGGGGGTCCTTCTAGACTCGAGGACTGTGATCCGGCAGACCATGGTGGCTCCAGCGCAGGGCAGCCCAGGGAAAACCTGTTGAGTATTCGGCCTGCAATGAAGGGGTTCTTTGGAGGTCGGGGGTGGCGCGGCCTCTAGCCTCACGGCGGCGGCGCCTCCTCCTGCTGTTGTACCCCTGGGCGTGGCACTAGCTAGTGTGGAGGCGGACCGGAACAACTCGAAAGCATGCAAGACATTGAGTTTTCATCTCCAGGCAGTGGCTCTGGGAAGCCTGCGGGGAGTACGCTTCACATGGAAGAAGGACGGGCCCGGAACTTGCGTGAGTTCTTACAGCAGCAGCTGCTACTATCAATGCTACTACTCATGTTAACACGTATGAGTCTTAATACAGATACGACTACAGCAACTAGTAGACCACCACCGCCGCCACCACCACCACCACCACCACCACCATCACCATCACCACCATCACCACCACCACCACCACCACCACGACTGCGACTGCGACTGCGACGACGACGATGACGACGACAACGACCAACACTACGGTTGCGACGATGGCTACTACCACGACGCCGACCACCACCACCATAGCGCCACCACCTCCACTATCACCGGCACTGCTACCAGCTGTGCTACCACAAGGGGTACTCACATGCACGATCCTGGGGGTGATGCAGCATCATCATCTGCAGGCCCATAGCCGTGGCATCCGTCTTCCGGCCTTGTGCCTGCTTTCCGGGTCAGGTCCAGCTGTCGGAACGAAGATCAGTTGGAGTTCATTGAAACTCAGAAGTTGCTGACACTAGTGGCGAGTAATTCTGCTAGCAACAACACTACTCATAAGAGCAGTTGCTGTAGAGCACCAGGCAAGGTGTTTGCAGTGATCATCACCGTCATCCGCACCAAGAGCAGCAACGGCTGCGTCATCTTCATCATCAGCAACAGTATCGCCACCATGATCATCACCACCAAGCATCATCAACATCATCGCTACCACCACCACCACCACAACCACCAGCAGACAAAGTGTTCGAAATAAAACTAGTCAGAACGATAGTACTAATGATAGACACAAACGTCATCGCAACAGCACCGATCACACCATCGATCTTGCAATGTACTGTTCCAAAAAACAGGCAAAGTAACAGCAACAGCAGCAGTACTGGAGAAAATGATATTGTCAATCATGACCTTCGTCTTCTCACTACCTTGAACATCCTCACAATCATCACGATTTTTCGTCTTCACCCTAATCTTCATCTTCACAGCCGTGGGGCACCATCCTCTTCTTCGGCCAAATACTGCTGTCAAACAACTAACTCTTGCCACCTGATGTCAGGACACTAGTCCGTATTGGCTAACAATAACACCAAATTACTCACAAGGGCCCCGACCAGAACTTGAATCAGCGTGCACAGGACTATGGCAGTCACGTCGATCAGGCCCTTGGTGAGAGCCTCGATGGCAGCGGTTGCACACAAAGCCAATACTTTCGACCCGAAACCATAATGCTTTTCAATAGCCAAAGCTTTCGACCCGAAACCATAATCAACGTTCAACTGTAATAATGCAATCTAGCATACTGTAAAACTAAAAAAGTTTAGAGCTTCAGAACATCAGGCCCTGGTTCTTGGGTTTTAGAGCTTTGGGCGAGCGCAGCAATAGCGGTCAATAGCAATCGATTTGACTGATAATAAGACTGCCGGTGATAGTGACAACAACTTCACAAACATGAATAATGGCTTCTTAGTAGTAGTAGTAGTAGTAGTAGCAGTCGTACAGTAGTAGTAGTAGTAGTAGTAGTAGTAGTAGCAGTAGTAGCAGTAGTAGCAGTAGTAGTAGTAGTAGTAGCAGTAGTAGTAGTACTAGCAGTAGTAGTAGTACTAGCAGTAGTAGTAGGAGGCATGTACGTGACATTAAAAGCCTCCAAGTAATATGAGCTTCCCTGCCTTCAGAATTGGGGCCTCGGTATAAAGCGAGTCTGCAGAAGTGCCCGCTGCCTCTCAAAACGCTGTATAGCTCTGAACACACAGTCTGCCGAGGGTCCCTTTCCAGGGGTTCCTGGACGGGATCTTAAAGACCTCTATAGAGTTTCCGTAAGGGTACTAATAAGTGTTCTATGTGAGTAGCTCTCCATACAAGGATCCCTTGTTAGCTCCCCAATATAGGACGGCACCTGGGAATTGCGGGTGTTTTAATGCTACGACAGTCACACACTACCATTGTTGTAGGCTGGACCCTTCTTCAGCAACGATGATCCTCCTGAGCTGCTGCACCACTCGGCTGGAGAATGCTGGTACGGTCCGGTGCGAAACTGCAGACCCGAATCCCCAAAAGCAAAACCTAACAGCTAAACTTTCAAGCTCCAAACCCCAAATCTTAAAATTCCTGATCATCCTCAGCCCTTGTGCACATCACCGAGGTCACGGCATCCAGCTGTTTCAAGACACTGCCATTCAGGACGCCGCGTGCGACGACCTGGGGTTTAAGGGTCAAGTCAAGGCTTAGGCTTACAAGGGGTTTAGGGTAAGTGGAAAATTCAAACTCAAACGACGGCAACCCGCCACAAGAGTGCCGAAATGCTTGGTGCTGCTCACGAATTTGGTAGCTTTGTGTGCTGCGGTTCTTCTACTCCCTGACCAGACCATAAACCCTCTACCCAAAACCCTAAAACCCCGAAACCCTACTTATGACTTGCGGGACTAAGTTTCCGACATATCTGCTGCTATGATTACCGCGGCTAGTGGCTATGCCTAGCGACTTAGGGTTAAGGGCTTTAGGCTTTAGGCTCTAAGCTTGTGGAGTTTGGGATCTGACTAGCATGATTGGCGCAGCTGTTCTGAGTTTGACTAGCAGCATTGGTCTAGTTTTGCTACTGACGCGGCCTGACTTGATGACTGTAAATGTCGTTGCAACAGCTGCTTGCCCCTTGCACTATGCGCGCTTCAATCAAACGGGCCATCCGGGACTTTCCGAAAATTCGGGTACCTTATTTTGGGGTCCTGGTAACAAGGGTCCTACTATTTAGGGTACTATATTAGGGTCCCCTATTTGCCGAAACCCCATCCGGCTCTCCACGCTTGTCATGTCGGTGTGACTCTGCGCTGCTCTTGCCCTTCTCTTCAACCAACCATTGCATGATTTCTGCTCGCCACGAGACTCCGCTCGACCCCAAACCCTCAAGCCTCAACCCCTAAACCCCCAACCCCAAGCCCTAAACCCCACGCCCTGAACCCTAAACTGGCCCTAAGCTCTACCCAATGACTTTGACCAGGGTAACCCTCCGAGCTCTGTGCACAGCCAACGCTCAGGACAACCCTGATCCTGGCGAAATCGGCTTTGACGGGCTCCTTTTCGAGTGACTAGAAGGGTTCATATATAAGAGGTTACTACAAGGGTCCTGGGCTCTAGAAGGGTTAACTATGGGGGGTTACTATAAGGGCTTGTTTAGGCAACAAAACCCCGGCTTTTTTTGCGACAGCTCTGACACTGAACGAAGAGTGTATACATGATCAGCATCACCTGGTGAAACTCAGGCTTCAGGAAATGATGACCCTGAACCCCGCACACCAAACAGT